TGAAATATGCCCAATCTGTTTCAAAGTGGACGTTTAAGATCCTCTGACATCATTGAAAACAAGTAGGTCCATTGTGTGCCGGCATCATGGTCCAAATTCGCCACTTTAAAAAAATGACACGGCTATCTGCCCATTAACTGAAGCTGCTCTTTGTTTGGAGAACGGTAACCCTAAATCTCAATTAATTGGGTCACACTAAGTCAATATAATCTGATTACACGCTGCCAACATGTAATCACGTGATATTACAGCACCTGCCTTCACTAATCGGATTACAGTAAACGGGGCTCAATATCTCACCGAATATCTTTGCAGGTCGTTGGACGCTGGTGCATGGGAGTAGGTACGTGACTCATAGCCACAGTTTAAGCAAAGAGGTACACTGCACAGACCCAGCTGATGTGGAGCCTTAACTCATCACTGCTAAATAATTATTCCCCAATGCTAGTGATCGAAAAGTATGACCCCATAACAATGGAGTTGGAGCTCAACTCAAAAAGATTGTGGGCCATGAACTCTGCAATCACCGTTGTCTGTTATGACCTGCTGTTTATTGCCAAAGGGCATGTATTTATGGGTGCATGTGAATATGCAGATAAATGTTACTGGCAGTCGTAATATATCCTTGTGGGAGAAAATAAACACAGAACCACCAAACCATAGTGAATGAAAAACACATGAGTGTTTAGAGTTTCTCAAACTGTCATGATTGGGCGGGGGGGGGTGGGGGCTGGAATTCCTACGGAAGATTGTGAGCCATCAATAATGTATCAACGGCTACAATGTATTTTGTGCAAAAAAAAATTGGTTCAGTAGCCAGGGTTAACCCACTGGTGGATGAAGGCCTCCACCTCTAACCATCTGCAATGTAACCAATGTTTAACTTTCGTTGTTTTTTTTTCTCTCAAGATGCCAGCAAGAGACTGGGGGGTGGGGGATGGGGGAGGATGTCTTGTGCCTGCTGACAAAAAAAAACGAAGAGATGTTCTGTAGAGTCACGGGAAATTTCCGTGGAGGTGGTTAAAGGATTTCCGTGGATTTCCGTGCGGCCGCTGCGTGAGTCAACGCCGCGGGCCGCATCATGCCGTCCGAATTAACGCCACAGGAAGCGCGCTCGTTCTTCAGAGAAGCGCTCGTTTTCCAGCAAAAAGGTCTGGTTTGCATTAAAACCCCTGCCCAGGCTTAGAGTGGGCAGAGGGCATAATAACAAGGGTCGATATCGAGTGCCCCCTACGTACACGGCGCAATCCTCCCCAGATCGCGACAGCCTCGTCCGTCTACGTAGGCAACTCCCCGAACTCCGCATCTTGCCTCTTCCCCCCCCCCCCACCCCCTTCACCAATGCCAAAGGACTTCAGGATGTTGGTAGTGAGCATGCACGCATCTCTGCATGCCAGAGGTGTTCCGACAACACCGAAAGTATTGCAAAACCACTTAGATATATGCGGTCATGCTGTACCAGTCAAAACACATGCAAACAAACACACATCTGCCGCTGCATTATCACCAGTTGCCATCTAAATGATGGATGGCTGAGACCAATCAGTGTTTCTGCTCACTCTGTGGTAAAAACGATTCACTTGAACAAAAATACATCAGGTCTTGCAAAATATTATTAAAAGTGTTGGCAATTGTTTGACTATTATTGAGAATCTCTGTCAAAATTTCTCAACAGCATGGTATGGGCTCTAGGCCTATTGATATCTAAGTTATTGCAATATGCATACTCCCTCTTGATACATTGAATAAAAGTCGGGTTAATGGCGAACTGTTTTGTAGAACTTTGTCAATCCACCAATGAAGGCTTCCCCATATCACGTCAGTTATATATATGTATGACAGAATGGATGCCAGCTTAAATTGTAACAATTTAAATCTTGACTGATGCACCATTGGTGTAATTTAGTTTTGAAAAATTGCAAAGCGCTTCTGGGAAATGGTTATGAGACTGAGAACATTCGTTTATAACAAAGTTTAAATGCAGAATGCATCTGGAGGCGAAATCATTATCAATTCAGCTCACCAGTTCAATTCGCCCTGAACAACAACCGCCATTTGTGTGTTGAAGTTTAGTCTCAGTCCACCTATGCAGACTTCCTGCTGTTTAAAGTTGAGTCTCAGTGCAACAGCATTCCAGGCTTCGATCAGTGAGTGAGCGCGAGAGGGGCGCGGCATGGACACGTGCGTGCTTGTGTGGTGAGCGGTGCGAGGATCACATTCTCAGTGAAACCTGGGCCCATTGCTGTCTATGCACTGCAACAATGGAACATAAAACATCAGCCTTGACCCATGCCACCTCAGGTCGACTTGATATAAAATTAACACCCGGTTACAGTAGAGAAAAAAACTCATCAGCCCTGGCGAGACAAAGATCGCCAGGCATGATGCTTGTCATACCACGGCTTAATAGGTACTCACTTAGGGCACTTGTTTCTAACACGTAGACTTTCACGACCAATATTATTTATCTTAAAGTTTACATTTACGCGATCGAACCCAAAATGTTTAGCATAAGCACTTGTCCTGTCAGTCCACAAGTCTGACAAGCGAGATGTCTCACTTTCTATTTCTCACTTACATCTGTGGGGCGTGTCAACCCATGGATGATGTTAATAATGCATTCACAAGATTTATAAGCAAGGAAAGTAACACATGTGCAATATCAAGTGCACACATTTCTTGCACTTTAAGGGTCGGACCCCTCGCTAATCACACGCACGCATGAATAGTTTATTTTTCCTGCAGTAATAACAATTACTTCAACTTTGCAATTAATCAGACATTTCATTATGCCATAAGTTTGGTTGGCCAACTTGGTAATGTTAAAGCAATCTCAAATTAGTTTTATCTTAGTTTATTTTGTTAAGCATGTATATTTTGTTAAAATTTCCCACACACAGCCTGTTTACAAATTATGATCTGGTTTTATTGAAATCTAATAAATATAAAGTACACACTGAGGGACGCTTTAGATGGATTATACCAGGAATTGTGTTTTTTTTATTTAACTTACAAACGTCATTTGTAAAATTAAAACAATACTGCATGCAATTCTATCGTTTCAGGAAAATCGGTGGTTTGCTGCTCATGGTCATGGGGTCAGACTTTTTAAAAAATAAGTTCAAGATGGCCATTCGAGCATGGCACCGATTGTAAAAATCCCACATTCGTTCAGACTATTACCAACGATATTAATACAGACATTATTTGAATCACAGGCTGCAATATTGCACTTTCAAAAAAATAATTTAAATTCTCGCTTTGGATTTCATCATGTTGTGAAGTGTTGTGCTTTGGGCAGGCACATATACAATGCCACGTGCGTATTTCCTACTAATGTTCTCTTTATATGTTTCTGTATATGTTAGCTTGTGTGTGTGTGTTCCTGTATGTGTCAGTGTGTGTGTCCCTGTACGTGATTGTGCGTTCCTGGGGAACGGCGAAGAAGTGGTCAGCGCACCTCCCTACGGACACGGCGGCCAGAATTCGATTCCTGCTCAACGTCACCATCGGTGACGAACGTTTAAACCGTTTATGGGCCTCCCCTCGGTCGAGTCAGCCATAGAAGAGCACCTGGTTCAGTGTGTAAACATTATTGGCACCGGGGAGACAAAGGCGACCGGGGGGAGGTGTTGGCCATCCACCCCCCCGTCACCTCAAATGAGTACCTGGTGCGGTGTGTAAACACAGTGCCGGATTATCCTAGTAGCAAAAGTGGCTACATATGCTACGGGCCCGTCACTTTCAAGAGCCCCGCGCTAAATGCTTTCAAGCTATCAATTCTGGTTCAGTGATTCTGCACTTGCTCTATTACTATAGTACTATACCGCCTTCAACTTTTATGAACGACTTGGGTGTTTAAGGTTAGCGATTTGTAGTATTATCTGGCTGTATAGCAAATAAAAAAATACAATTACTTTACTATGAAAATTTTTATTTTATATTTATGCTTTTTTCATTCATGGCCCCTTCATGACATATGCCACAGGACCCGCACTAGCTTAATCCGGCACTGTGTAAACATCGTTCGTACCAGGGAGACAAAGGCGACCCCTCGTGTGCCGTGCCGGCCTTAATAGGTGCTCGCTAACAGCACTTGCCCCTACGAGACTGCTAAGGCTACACGGAGGTCGTTGTATGTCTGTTACGTTCCTGTGTACCCGTGGTTTGTCAGTGTCTCTGGTTCCTGTGCGCGAGCAGGGCGCCTGGCGTGCATCACCGCTCCGGCTGATCACGCCGGGCTAAACCAAAACGCAGCCTCGATGGCAACGCCTCAAGACAAAAAGTGTGTATGCCGTGCAGTGTTTATTTGTCTCAAGGGCCAACACAGAACCGGATAATTAACAATAACAACCTAACTGCAAATTCTTAGTGTGTTTATGTTTATGCAGTGACATATTTTATTGTACAAAATAATCGTCAGCGTCCTTGCGGAGGATACGGCGAGAAAAATAAATACGCCTCCTCACATATATACACGTCTATCCCTCCACACCGGTGTGCTGATGAGACGGTGAACGGCAAAACCGGTCCAGCGTTTGCTTGTGTTGAACCTATGCTGCTGAATCTATGCAGCATCAGGCCGTCGTGTAGGCTGATGGATGTTTAAAACACTCTTTTGTGATGTCATCACCATTATCGATATCGCTGCAAGTTGCAGGGTGGGTGTCCTTTTCGAATCTCGGAACGTGTAAGCGGTCCGCGTGAATTTTATTTAGAGAGGCGTAGCGCCCTTGTTTTTAAAGACATTGTACTCACCGCATAGAACTGTAGCGACACGACCGCACTCTACGATAGCTGGTGCCAAACTGTGCCACACACCCTCCCGCATGGCCTTGTGGGAGCCTAGATACTGACAAAGTTATAAAAAAAAATGTCTTCTGGTTCCGTTCCGATGACGTACAGTTGCTACATCGTAACGGGAAAGGGATAACAGTCGACAATTATCTTACTGCACATTCGCTACGGGGGAGTATGAACGAGCACGGTGCGCGCGATACCTTCTCCATATGCTGGTAGTGCGTGCCCGCCGCGCCCGCCCCGCTCTGCTCCCTGGCGGCGCTGCCGCCCCCCTCCTGCCCGGCCAAGGACCCCCACCTGGAGCCCGACTTCTCCCCCTCCGCGGCGACGGTGCACGATCTCCCGGCGCCCCGCCGCCACCGCCACCCCCCCCTCTTCTGCCGGCGGGGGTCGCGAGCGAGCGCGCGTTCCGCGGGGTAGCTCGTGTGCATCAGCCCCGCGCCTGACACTCCGAGGGGCTCGAGTGCAAACGGGCGCCCGCCCAGCACCACCAGGCCGCTGCGGGCAGCACGGGGGCACACACAGGGCAGGTGGACAACGCTTCGGTCAACCGCGTGCGGCGGTGCTGCCGCGGTGTTAGTGGCGAGCCCGCTGGGCCGGCAATCCCGAGGCTGTCAGCGTGGACGTTGAAATGGGCAACCACCCCCCCCCCCCCTCCCTCGATATGCCAACGGTCGAGAATGGCGAGGTGATGCGTGGATACTCCCACCTCTTCCGAGATGTCTGGCTAAGTGTGGTAGAGTAGGCCAAATACCCCCTTAGAGCGGCTCCTTAGGAGCTTCCTCTCGTGAATGCCCTTCTGTCAGCAGTGGCGTGAGCAAGCAGTTGGCCACTGTCTTGAGTATTTTCCCTTCACATTTTTGAGTTTTCCTGTGGAAACTCCGCTTTATTCGTCAACGAAAAGTCCCCAAAAATAGAAATTGGGGAAACATCTCAAATCCGTGCATTCCTTAAAAAAAAACTCCCTCGTTGCCTCAGTTTTCTGGCTAATAACCTCAAATTAGATTAATGGTGCTTTTGGCATCTTGGTAAAGAGCCGGATCATGGTTTTCTTCTCCAAACTAAAACTCTTGATTACGCCACATGTTGGGCTACACAGTGACCTCAATGTCACGTTACTTCTGTCGACATCTTAAAGGATTAAGATACAATTGCATCATACATCTGTGCACACCATAGATGATCTTAAATTTGAGTCTATTTGCCGAATAAACCGTAAGAGCAGGGCTTGACCAAACTAAGTGCAGTATGAAGTAGTAAGCATGAACCTACCATACACACATCTGGTATTCGGGGTTTATTTAGATACATTCTGTACTTGAGAATCCAGTTTTATCTTGGGTAAGAGCCCTAGAATTAGACCCAAATAGTCGTCAGTGCTGGCTCACATTTTTGCCTGCCCAGACGAAATTTTGGCTTGGAGGGTTGCTTGACCATACTTCACCATGCTGGTCATTGGGAGTTTAAAGGGGGGACACTGACCAGCTCAGATATAATTTGCCACCGACGCAAGCTGCGGCTAGTAATCACATTCAGCTTGATAGCGCAGTGCGCTAAGCCCTGCACCACCGTTCCACCCCAATTACATCTAGGCCTGACAAATGTGTTTATTTAATGTAATTGTACGTTACGAATAATTATTTCTTAGTACCGCGACCAAAGTTTGATCTTTAGCAATGGCTTACATCAGTGACAAGTGACATGCCACTTTACCAGTGTGGTGAAGTATGGTCAGCGAACCCATGACCCAAACGGCATGGGGAGACTTTCATTATTAATAATGTCCATGTGGTTCAGCTGGAGGTTGTTGTTGTTGTAGTAGAGGACTCACTAGCAGTGCAAGCGTCATGGGTTTAATTCTCAGAGGAAGGTCAAACTCTGGTCTACCAGCATCTATATAACTGAGGTGTGTGTGACTGCAATAAATGTATACATTCTAGATGCAAATTTGCACTCACTTTGTAAGAACACGTGCAATTGTGTGTGTTTTGTATGGCTGCATCTGGTGAGCAGCCATGCACAGTGTGTTAGCGTGGGAGTGTGCTGATATGCTTGTGCAATACGTACATAATGTACTGTATTTGAATGAGCGTGCACATGTGTCCGGATTACATAGAAGTACGGGAGGAAGTATGCACGATGTACATGTAGCCGTAAGATTTCATAACAAGTGCTCGCAACCCTTGCCTGAAGAAACTGAGAATAATTGGTGCTAACGCACGAAGCTGCAGTCCTGATGGCAACTTTTCAATTTCTGACCGTGTAAGACATTTGTGCCGTGGATTTCCCTCCGACTGGCAGAGCCTTGAACGAGTTATTGGTTCGGTGTGGCCATGCCACCCGCTCGAGTGCCTATCGGTCGTAATCGGAACTCGCTAACCGCACTCGTCCCCGCAGTCTACTTGTGCTAAACAGGAGACATCTTTGTGCAATCATCTTCAGCGCCAGTGTGGACACGTGCACACTGGAATGCATTCTTCCGCGCGTGCCCGTCCGTGTGCGGAACTGCGGGGAGCGGCTGCCACACGTACGTCCGGTGGCGAGGCGTTAACTACCTCGCCTGGTGTGCAAGAGGTCGTGGGTTCGATCCCGACGCTGATGCCTGCTGTATGTTTGGAGTTTGCGGTGTGTCTCGCTCCCCGTGGTCGCGTGGATTTTTCTCCGGGTCCTCCGGTTTTTCCCTCCACATTTAGAATCGACGTGCGCTTAAGAGTGTTTGCCTGCGAGAAATTTGGACGTGACGAGCCACTCCGCCGAGCCGTCGTGTGTGACGGCCAGGTCGCTTCTGAGCTACATAGCTCGGTGGGGCCTCACCTGACAAAGTAGCACAACAATAACTTTTAGTTTTAGTTCAGTTTGACTTTCGCTCCCTCCCTTCGCGTGCGAGCGATGGAAAAGCCGAGGAGCGGCCACTCTACGAGCGCCGCTCACCGAAGGCGTCCGCCGCACGTGCTGGCAGAGACGGACGAGCCGGGAGCGCCCGCCACGCCGCCGTGGTAGAAACAGTGCCGCTGGTGATGGAGACAGAAGGAAAGCCACTGCAGCCCAGCTCCAACATGTAAACACGCAGTCGCCGGCCGAGAGCATACATACAAACATATAAACGTGCAGTTGCCGGCCGATAACACCCGAACTTACAAAGGAACACAGAGCTTTGGCAATTGTTCCCGCGTGTATGCGCGCCTCCGATAAGAACGGTTGGCTACGTACGGTGCCAAATAAGTTCAACTTGAATGCACACATACGGTTCCTTGGTGATTGTGAACGACGCTACAAAACATTAATCATATTTTGTGTATATATATGTACACAGCGTTTCACACAGAAGTGGGGGGTAGCAGAGAAGGGGTGACCTCTCATTCAAAGAAGGTTTATTGGTGGTTTAACAGAAGGATCTTGTTTCCAGAGCAGATGCCACGTGGAAAGGATTAGGGTAAGGTGAGAATGATCTGTAGGTCCATGAAAGAGCTTTAAAAAGAGTGATCATAATTGGGTTAACCGAGCTCGACTCGTCATAAAACGTAACTGGAGTAGCGCGACCGAGATTATCGCTGGAGAGATGTCATCTTATACGGATTTATATCGCGTCTAATTCGAAAGGGGCATCGATCGAGGTAGCCAGCCATTGTGCCGATCCCGACATTACCATTCATTTCTAGGCTGGCCATGAGTAGCGTTCCCCACCCACAGTTTGCCAACAGTCGATCCGCTTTTACAGAGGGCGTTATGTGCAGGGCCACACCAGTGCAGTGAGTGTTGGCAAAGTGACCATTCCTCGATTCAATACCCGGTGCTGCATCTGATCTGGGCTTTCTCGAGATCAATTCAGATTTAATATCAGTTTTTGTATAAATATATCGACACTTGAAAGACATAGATAGGCAACTGTGCGTGCTACAGGTTACACCACTTCCTCGTGTGATTCCCCTTACGGGCCCTCACTCACAGAAATTGGCCCAACAGTCGCGTTACTTAATGGGGGGTTGGGGGGATCTTTGAAGACGACGAATTCTTACTGTGAGGTTGGGTTGGCTGCTTCGGAGGATTCCGTCTTGCCCGTAGTGGGACTCCACATACCCAGGGGACACGAGCTCCCTGCGACGCACAATTAGAGACGCAGCGTGAGCCGCACGCGCAGACAGCCTCACGGAGGAGGAACCCGTAAGCGCACACATTCGCATCCCGCTCGAACACGTGTGCTGTTACGCACAGAGGCACATTGTTCGAAAGAATATCACATATATAAGAATCACGCCATTTGCTAAGATATGAGCAAGGTTTGGAGAACATAAAACATGTTAACATGTTCATCTGTAGACTTTCATGAGCATCGCAGGTAACTAGTTCAAGATTTAACACCTCGATTGCATTTGGAACAAGTTTGTGAAGTCCTTTGTCTCTCCAGGTGAGAGTCCATGGAGATTGATCGTCTCTTTTGCAAGAACTCATGAATGCAGTTCCATGCTGTGGCACCTGCATCACGATGACGATGATGCCAGTAGACATTTTAAGGGCCACTTCGTAGCAAACCTGCACGCTACCAGCCGAGCAAATGATGTCTGCCTCACACACATTTTAGAGCACAAACACCGACTGTGGCAATTGCAGAATTGATGTCAAATTGTGTTGCACTTTCAGCGTTCAGAATGTTATTTTTCCATGACAAGGAATGCAGGGCGTCGTTATATACGAGAGTATTCATGGCAGACATTGGTGTCCTGCAGGCATGCCAAATACTACACGTTGTTATTAGATTACATTCACACGCAGAATGTTTTAATGAACATTTTGGGCGAGCGTGATTTTGCTGGTCTATCACCTGGGTGCTGCCCTGTGCTTTTAAGGCAGTGATGTTGACGAATGTTTTGAGTTTTATTGTTCATTGTGCACGTGCACCACGGCCAATGCAGCAGCAGCATCACCAAATAACTTTTGTTGTGTAACCCCATTGGGTGTTTACATTTCTCCAAACCCGGTCTGGATCGAACGCAAATCGCGAGTGGCTGCACACAGTCGCCCTGAAACATTTCCACACGTAACGACCGTCGCGCGTCTGCACTTTGCAGGAGACTCGAGGAAAGTGAATACACAGCGCACATTCACGGTGTTATATTTAACCAAAGTTAAGATTTCTTTGAAACAATGTGTTCCCGTGGGAGGTAATTAGGGTGAGAACCAAGAAAATGAGACCGTTTAGAAGCAGGGCAGAATATCGCGGTGAAAGCGGAGAATTAATTAAAAAAAATGAATAAATTTAACAGAGCAGTCGTGTCGGCCAGCTGAACAAAACGGCCTTCGGCGACTCCCGTTACAACTCGTGATGAGCCGTCTAAAGTGACACGGAGCGCTGCCACCCTCTCCACACCTCCTCCCCTCTCTGTGGGTCGCGTACGCAGCAGCAGCAGCAGCAGACAGCTGTCAGTTGCCACCCTGGGCCCTCTCAACTCCACGCATCGAATAATATGATGCATTCATGAATCAACTGAGTTATTTTCACAAATATGGTAACGATAACATTTTGCAACAATAACAAAAGCTAGAAGCAATGTCAATGAGACCAAAAAACAGACAAATCCAATAAAACAATAACCTGAAATCACAACCATTCGTTGAATATCCGTGTGGCATAGGGGAATTATTACTTGCCCACGGGTAAGTCAACCAGTGAATGTAATTAATTAGATTAATTGAAAACACAGCCGTCCTGTTTTAATCAGACTATCAGCAGATTAAGGGATACTGAGTATTGTGATTGAACTGGGTTAAGACACGAACGAAATTACTTTGTCCATCTTCTTTCGGGACGAAATTAATGCCATGTGGGGGCTTTTTTTATCATCATCATCATCCTCAACTCTGAGCACAGCTGTCGGCCAGGCGTAGCACAGACAGAGAGGCCTGACCTCTGAACGAATGGCAACAGCCACACTCTCCCGATGTCTGCCCTTGACAACAGCCCACGTGGCAGTGAATCCGCACGTGCTTCATCGCAGCTGTCGCTCGCAAAGCGGCGAGGTGGTTTATTACGAGGGGCTGCTGAACCAAAAGCTTTACTCCTTGTGCCTCTAAGTTGAACGATTCACAGTGTTCAAGGGCAATGCCTTTGGCGCAGGAGCGAGCGATTCAGGGGGAAGGGATAGCCTCGAGAAAATGAGTGCTCGTTACTTTGTGCAGCGTTGGACGTCGCCAGCCTACACTCGTATCGCCGTGCGGAACAAGTTTGGAAGAGCTTTTGTGAGAAAAGTGCACTTCCCCCATTGAATACCAGGCAGAGAGTGTGCCACCGTCTGGATCGAGTCCAGGCACCGTTTGGGAGCAGCTGATGCACGCGAGCAGGCGTCAATGTTTACATTCACGCGCTGATCGGAAAGCCGCGACGTTTTCTAGCAAATGTTGAACACGCGACACCCACACAACCTCCGAAACAATAAAGCCACAGCTGTTGATGTCACAATACGCAATGCGTTATGGGATCTCTTTTCTTTTTAAGTGTCACGGCGGCTCGTTGCAACAAGGTCACGTTTGAATTTGGGAGTAAGAGTGTCGTCATTCATATTCAATGTATTATTATTATTTAGCCTACATTTGATAATGTCGAATAAAAAAACACACGTTTGCTTGTTTATTGCGGCCTCCTTGGCTGTGAAACCGTAGAGTGCTACACATCACAGTGTAAGTGTCTCACACACACACAGAGGTTCCCGACAATAATACAAGTAGTGACGCTACATTTATGATGTATTGCTAGGCAATAGTAGTCTTTCTCAGAACCCCAGCATCGCATGCTGGCTGGTTGTGGATTCCAATCACTTGTGCTTCTCAGCATGAGCATGTAGGCGATTGCTTTGTTTGATAAACGGCTCTTGTCTGAGCACAATGGCGTTCTAGGCATAAATGAGGCCACGTGGCTCTTAAACCAATCACACAGAACATCTCATGTTCGATTATGAAGAATACCCCTATACAAATAGAACCTTATGATATCGATTCCTAGTGGAAAGGAGAACGCATTTAAACAATGTCACCATTCAACGTTTACGTACAACAGTTGCGTGCTGGCTCGCATAACATCTCAATGCCTTATTGTGAAGATGCCGTGGCTTGCAGCGAGCTCTTCTTCTGTTGCTACTGCAGCTGCTGCAGCTGCTGCTGCGCTCGACATCACAGGCGGCTGTCGTCAGCGAAGAGGCAAAAGACCCCCACCGGACGCTCCAAACTTTTGCGAGCCCCTCACCGGATGACGCTCTGGTTTCCCTGGTGAACTGGCGGCGCCAGGAATCTCGGCACATCTGGCAAGGAAACCCGAGCCGACGGCCCCTCGGAGGAGGGCCCTGCGCCGCGCAGCGCCGCCTCGTAGCAACCGCCGCGTGCCCCACCGAGTCGACGCAGCTCGCCCCTCCCGCGACACTGAAACGTCGTTTGTCAGCGCCACTACGGTTAGCATTCAGTGACCGCTTCACCCCGATGCCAAATTTGAATTTTCAATCCGCCCGCGACATCGCCCCTTTTTTCATTGCCGTCGGGGTAGTGCAGCGAGCGGAGCGATGTGCGGTGCGGTGTGCAGCGTGGTGCGGTGTGCAGCGAGCGGAGCAGTGTGGTGCAGCGAGTGGAGCAGTGTGAGTGTAGCGAGTGGAGCAGTGTGGTGCAGCGAGTGGAGCAGTGTGAGTGTAGCGAGTGGAGCAGTGTGGTGCAGCGAGCGGAGCAGTGTGGTGCAGCGTGGGGAGCAGTGTGGTGCAGCGAGTGGAGCAGTGTGGTGCAGCGAGTGGAGGAGTGTGAGTGTAGCGTGCGGAGCAGTGTGGTGCAGCGAGTGGAGCAGTGTGAGTGCAGAGTGCGGAGCAGTGTGAGTGTAGCGTGCGGAGCAGTGTGAGTGTAGCGTGCGGTGCAGTGTGAGTGTAGCGTGCGGTGCAGTGTGAGTGCAGCGAGTGGAGCAGTGTGGTGCAGCGAGTGGAGCAGTGTGAGTGTAGCGTGCGGTGCAGTGTGAGTGTAGCGAGTGGAGCAGTGTGAGTGTAGCGTGCGGTGCAGTGTGAGTGTAGCGAGTGGAGCAGTGTGAGTGTAGCGTGCGGTGCAGTGTGAGTGTAGCGAGGGGAGCAGTGTGAGTGTAGCGTGCGGAGCCGTGTGAGTGTAGCGTGCGGTGTAGAGTAGCGGGTGCAATGGTGCCCGACTGCGCCGCCGCTCCTCCTCGCTGACCCAATGTCATGACACACGAAAGGGCAAGGACCCCATCCCTCGCCGCTGTTGCCCGCCACTCACACACGGCGGCACTGCTTCACCATCATCATCTACGCAATGAACCCACCTCAAGGAAAGCCCTTCTCCACGAATCGAGCCCCACATCGCAATCGTAACCGCTGTTCCTCAGCTCTAATTCTCGTGCACACCAACGACTGAAAATAACTCACATGCCCAACTCTGACCCGAGTTACAGGAACGTAAAGTTACCCAAAGGTTCCTAATCAAGGCCATAACTTTTAAGTGTAATCCATTACTCGAACTCAAACACTCCAAGTTTTGTTGTATGGAGCGTCGTCGTTCATGCAAATAGCCATCTCCCAATCAGCGATGAACCACAGTCCAGCTGCGAGGCAGCCAGGTGGGCGAGCCAGTGCCAACAATGGCCCAAGCTCTGGCAGTCCTCTACATGTTAACATACATCCAGCCAATGAATGAAGCGTCTACACACGTGGGAGGAAACCGGAGCACTCAGAGAAAACTCACTTGTGCGAGGGGGAAACACTATTTCATACAGAAGGGACGGCTGATATTAGTCCGCACTATGCTGTACCGTCTTCTCCTTGCAAGCCAAGGTATGCATGTACGTTGGCCTTCTTTCGCACCGTACATAGCCAACCATGCTAATCGGAGGTGCAAAGGTGTGGCACCTTAGCGCCCACAGCGAGGGAGTTTTGCAACATTGTTGCGATCCACCAACCCCGAACTGCAGAGTGCTCTCCACAGCGCCGCTGATGCTCATTTTGAACATGTAATTAGATCGGTACTTAATAAAACAAGGCACACAGTCAGGACAGGAGTTCCCACTGCCAACGGAACCCAGTGTTGGAAGGGAAACTTCAAAAGTAAACAATATACTGATTACATTGGAGCTTAGGCAATCTGTAATGAAATATGTTACAAAGCTCGCAGTAACATGGGTAATTGCTCATTCTATTAGCTTTTCATTAAACAGCAATTGTTTTAAAATCGTATGCTACATATTAATATCACCACCATCATTATTAGCATGAGGCAAAGTCAACTTTTCAAAAAGTAATCACTCCAGCACTTTCTGTGTTGTATGGGCCAGATTCACATCTTGATAACAGGAGGGTAAGGCATTGTGCCTTGGAGATTTGCCTGTTATTGGTAGTGGAGACGTAGGCAAGATTCCTCCACACGATGTAAATATAGAAACAGTCTTTAACTTATAAATTGGGGCCATGTGTTTTCTTGCCTGAGCAAAGCTGAAGACAATAAGTTCATGAAATTTGGACAATAAATAATATAGTGATGCGATGGTACGTCATATGCAGGCTTTGCAACAATTTTTCAGTGTCGTGTTAAGTTCTGACGTCAAATCGTGACCTTCTGGAGATGCGGAGAGAAACATCAATCCCGTTAAATAAATATGCATGATCAGGTGATTTACAAGCGACAACCTGGTCAATTTTTAACAGGCGACTTGTGCTGACCTTAACTGCGCACCCCCGATGAGCACGGATGGCTACGTACGGTCCAAACGGAGCTCAACATGCGCACGTACGCACAACACACGCGATGGGATTATCGTGGAGTTTGCAACGTTACGCCTGTCCCTGGCAGGGGACAAGCTGCTCACCTGTTCCTCTGCAGGTTGAGAACGCGCGGCTGTCCCGCGACCCGCACGCTGTACCGAGCTGCCGCTGGAAACTCCGCCTGTTCACACGCACCGCCACCATGGGCACTGGGTGAAAAGTTGCCCACGCAAAGCTCAACCGGGCCAGGTTTTTTTTTCCTTTCTGCTCCTCTTTCTTCTGCTCACTTTGGCATTCAAAGCAAGCGCACTCCTCTGGATGCTGCCGTGGCGGCACTGGTCAGCACACTGAACTCACGACCTACCCCACGCTCGCCTCTGTTCACGCAGCAGTGTCAATCAATGGGTGGACCGCGGTTATAGTCGATTGGCAGAGGGCACGCGCAGTGGGGTAAAGTGTGGGTGCTCACACGCCTCACAAGACGTCAACAGAGAAGAGTCGGCCAAATCCAACCTAGAGGTGCCGGGGGGTGGAGGGGGGTTCTATCGGCAGTGCTGTGAGCGAGCCATTGCTGGCCTGCAATATACTCTTCTTGCACGAGACTGAATCAGAATGAACAAGTTCAGATTCGGCATTATATCGGTCTCGTGCATGAGGTGCATTCAGTGAAAGTTTAAAATATGAATCAAAGCCCTGATTGCTTATCATTAACAACGTCACAGGAATGTGAACCTCTCGCATTTTCAATATAGTTGCATGCGGTAGAGACGAAGAGTTGTACGTCAGGCAAGAGCGGCAACATTGAAGTTTATCTTGAAACATGGCAGGAAGACGTGGCTGGGACAGGAGGGGCATGGACGCCCGTTAGAGGTGGGCAGACTGACGATGCGAGCGCGCTAATAGCATGGAGAGGTTAGTGACCAACGGAAAAGCAGAAAACCCAGATGGTTAAATCCCACAGCAGCTGTGGGAATTAACCGTGGGATTTAACGGAAAGAGCGATGGAAATTTGCAGCGCCGTTGACAACACTGTCAGCGGTGACTTCTTTTGACCTTTTTAGGTTCAACTTGCTTACAAATACTGCACAATCTTTTGTCTTTAAGGACTTTAAGGAAATCATGATGCAGTCCCCCGTGTGAGAATCACTGCCCAGCTACTGCCATCAACTCCCATGAATGTTGGAGGCACGAGACCCCAGCCATCTAAATTATTATTAGAATAAATCACACAAATAAAACAACGTGTTAATGCTGCTCCAGCAACATCTACAAATACAATCCATTCAAAATGTTGCTAATGCTGTGGACTGTCTCATGCCCTTCCCGAAGGCCTGTCAGATTCAATGAGCCTCCGTCGCCATACTCGTAAGGAAGCATTCCTTTGTGATGTGTAGAGTGCTTCACCATATGTTCATCATCCGTTATTTGCACACAATAATTGTAACCCTTATATATAGGTCACATTGAACTCTATCTCGAATTTCTCGTCAACCAGAAAACTGAGGTCTTAAAGCTCACACACTGGAGAACCTGGTTTCTTTTTGAGTGAAAGCCAAATATTCAAACCCTGATTCTCCGAATGCTGTCTCTATTCATCGAGCATCAAAACGCAATGCGGGTCCTCATCTTCAATGAGCGGCCGTAAATTGTCTGCCCAGCTGTGGTTGTGAAACACAGAGCCACAGGCAAACGCACAAAACTGAAAAGACACGAACACTCTGTCCACTTGAACGTGGGAGTAAACACGAAGAGCGTTTCGCTGGGAAGCATGCTCACACCGCAGGGCGCCACTGCTGGATTCCACGTGCAAACTTTGACCGATATCCCTGGATGCACGTCTCCTCTCGCTTTCGTGCATTCTTTGGTTCAGGAAATATAAAATACACTTCATGCCATTTCTCTCCTTTTTTATTGATGCAAAAAAAATTGATATATAACATTTAAAAATATATATAACGTAATTGTTTCTTTATTTTTACATCAAAATGGCTGCGGATTCCAATTTCACCAAGCGGAGTTTGTCAAGTTGTTCTTGGACAGCCAATGCGATCCTGTGCCCAGTGCCTGACTGAAATTGTTTCCGTGAGCAACACGACCTAGCAACTTCCCTTAAAGGCAGGCAGCAGCGCGTTCAGCCTTTAGAGTATGCGTGTTTATGGTTCACAAACGACTGCTAAACTGCGTTTGTGAGCGTCGATGCTCCCGTGCAAAGCACGCTCACAGCTGCGCAACCTGCGACAACATCAAATCCAAACATCACCACGTGGAATAACCTGTAAATGACACCACAGCTCTTCCCTTGGCACCCTTCAGAGTTCGAAACATAACACGAACTCACAACACGTGCACACGCGTCATCTGTAGGACTGAGGTTGCGGCTGAAGCTTCCTCTTTTCATCCAAGTCAGTCTGATTCGCGGGAAACGAGAACAAATTTAGCGTTAATTGTGTTGACGGTTGTTTAACGCGGTCATTAGCGGCCAGGCTGAGGCCATCACCTAGCTACGCTCGAGCAGCGAGTGCTTGCTGTTGGGTGGCTGCCAAAGATCTGAATGCTCTCAGTGCCGCGTGCTCAGAGCTCGTCTCGTCACAGCACCCCAATGTGGCAGCTCACTCGCCCGCCTAAGTTTATATCAATGTGAACCGTATTCTTTTCTCATTCATGGTATATAAACTTAAAAGTGAATCTGAATAACATCATTATTTATGCCACACAGCTGCGTTTGATGACAAATTAAGCCATTTCCTCTTGCCATGTAACGGTCATTAAATCATGCAATTGTCTTGTGACTAAACAGCCATGTTTTTAAAGTACAATTTTCTGGCTTTAATCATCACAGTTTTCCCATGTGTGCTGCCAGTCATATCACTATGATGGAATCATAACAACCTTCACCTCATTGGTGTGAGAAGGCATTCCTTAGCTAGTCGGTGCCTGGTTATCTGGCTCAAGGAGCTGTGCAAGCGACAGGAGGATGAGGACCAAGGCAGGAAGCTGTGGTTACTGTGGTGCTGATGATGATGATGCTGATAGTGATGCTGGTGATAACAATTACGTATAGTGCTAGGTATGATGGTGATGCTGATGGTGATAACAATTATAGTGCTAGGTATGATGATGATGATGCTGGTGATAACAATTATAGTGCTAGGTGTGGTGATGATGATGCTGGTGATAACAATTATAGTGCTAGGTATGATGATGATGATGATGCTGGTGATAACAATTATAGTGCTAGGTATGATGATGATGATGCTGGTGATAACAATTATAGTGCTAGGTATGATGATGATGCTGTTCAGAGCCTGTGAGTTATAAGAAGTGCACAATGAACTCTGTTTGGGAGTTTACTTGAGGGTGCTAGAAAGGCCCTTTATACAAGATTACAATACAATGCGTCATGATACAATTGCAGTGATTTTTCCAAAAATCCATCAATTTAGGCGCACGTCATATCCCTCAAAGAGGGCGGAGCTTGATTAAAAAGTGGCGAGTAACCCGGCTGAGAACCAAGTACCGGCTGCGCACGGAGGAACCCCCTCGAGCCACGGCTGCCACTCGGACCGCACGCGTGCTCCATCCCCCCTCCGTGGATACCGTCACCACCGCAAACGAGACACGCCCTGCCCGAGCCGACGGCGCGGCCGCCACGTGCTCGCTCGAAGCGCTGCTCGCTGCGATCGTGGAACAAAGGGTGACATCAGCCCACAGCGGGGGGAACACGTGCCACGCGCCCTCCTGCACGTTCCATGCGCGCGCGTTGGAACCTCCTTGGCTCCCAGAGGCACGCCGCTTTAAGGGTGAGGATGTCACTCAAGCGTAACGATCGCAGCGAGCGATCCAATGGGCCGTTGGCTGTGAGCTGTAGCGGGACAGGAGAGACCCTTGTAATCCTTGCCATTTTCATTCAGTGTTTTTACTTTTTTCTTCTTTGGTTCTTTCGGTAAAGTCACGTAGAATGAGATTAAAATAATAAATTGATAAAATAAAATAACACAATAATATTCTCACGACGTTCCGGCCACAACACAAGCGGCCTTCATCAGGTGTCCTCCAGACAGTCTCGTCCCCTTCACCTGATGAAGGCCGCTTGTGTTGTGGCCAAAACGTCGTGAGAATATTATTGTGTTATTTTATTTTATCAAATTATTATTTTATTCTCATTCTACGTGACTTTACCGAAAGAACCAAAGAAGATGAATCCTTGCAGTCACGAAAGCTTTAAATCGAAATGTTTTTACTTTGTTTCCGTTGGCTATCTTTGATTTACCTGAGACACGCCGACCTCCGTTGGCTCTCGGAAGCTAAAGAGGGTTAGGCCTGGTTAGATAAGAGCACCACAGTGGCGAGATGTTAACTACCTCGCCTGGTATACAGAAGTTTCCATGTTCTCCCCGTGGTTGCGCAGACTTCTCTACGGGTCCTCCGGTTTTTTACCTCCACAATTAGAAACATACGTTTAGAGCATTTGGCTCCTGTGATAATCCACTTAGTTGAGCTATCATTTGTGGCCAGGTCGCTTCTGAAAAAGAGCTTTATAGCTCAGTGGGCTTTACATGGTAAAGTAAAAATTAAAAAAATCGAATAGAGGATTGGATGCTGCCTGGGAATACCTCTGGTGTTGTATGCTTGGGCTGTGAGCTAGCGGGGTGATGGCCGGGCGATGATGAATTGTTGAATATATCTGTGCGGAGCTCTAACTGCTACCGTCGAACGTGCTGATGGTTGCCTGATACCCAAGTTTCCTCTAACATGCTCAACGCTCGTTCATGGAATTGGCCAAACATCCCCATGCAGGACCCTTCTTAAAATGTGTTAAGACTCCATGAGGCTTTTGAGCTGAATGAAAGGCCTTATTACTTCTAAGACGCAGGAGCATGGTGCTCATATTCTTGGTTCTTCCGGTAAAGTCGCATAGATTGAAAACAAAAATCAAAATTGAAAGCAAAAAAACCCACGACAATTCGATCGCAACACAAGCCGTCTTCATCAGGTGGAGAGAAAAGAGGGCATGGCGCTCATTTGTTAAAATTTAAAAAAGGCTCCAAGCCATGTACATCGGTGGCAATAGCTATGTTAAGGTGTCCTGCACCTCCCCTTTGCCAAGTCGAGACTCAGGTATGATGTGTCAGCACTGGCGCTGGGGAGACAAAGACAGCCAAGCGTGCTGCCGGGTACCGTACCCCATCGCGTTCCACGCCAGCTTCCACACAAGTTTCCTAACGCCACTCGCCGCTGCCACCTCTATGGGGCTACCTCTCGGAGGAGCTCCATACCACGTGGGCCCGGTCCTTCTACCTGTGTGACGTGGGGCAGCCGTGTTGGCGCGGTGGTCTCGCCGATGCGCCGTGGGACGAACACGTCTCGCCCGCTCCTCCGCCCGAGCGGCCCGCTGTGCACACTCTCAGCTTCAAAGCCTGGTGGGGGCCGGGGGGCGGGGAGGGTGGCAGTCACAAACCAGAGCCGAGCACAAATTCAATGTTAGGACGAGAAGGCAGCCACCACCACGAGCAAGCCTGGTGTGCGTGGGAACGCCGTAGCTTAAACTCAGACCTCTTGCTCGGCAGGTCTGGCGCAGGCAACAGAACGAGTCTTCAGAGGTAAAGGAAGCAAAATGGAATTATAATTATAAGGCGCGTTCTAAGATCGCACGCGAGATCAAACGCTCAGGAGTCAGATCGCATTTGCAGCGTCGATTCTTTAAATATTTGCGGGGCTCCTCGAGGCCCCCGATTTTGCTACAAGGTAAGAGAGGTCTCCTGTGGGTGGGTGCAGAGGGCTGATGAAGAATAACGAGCGAGGCAGATGAGGAACGGAGGCGTGGGGACGCTATGAATGCAGGTGGGAAACCAAAAAAAAAATATCGTGGCATTGTTTCTTAAAGACGGCGGCAGAGCGGTGCCAACAGACAGGTCTGTTCGACTTCCTCTCGCGCTCCCTACGCCTCCTCCTTCTCGTCGTCACCCCGACCCCGTCTTCCTGCCGACAACCACTCACTCACGCACGCTGAGCCGGGAGGGGCCACTTTCCAAATATAAACAAGAACGGCCCTCAGACGTGAAGTTTCCCCTGCACAACGACTTCTCCGGATGAAGGGAGGGAACCTCTGGTCTCCCAGCCGCTACAGCTGTTGCTACAGATGAATACAATGATCGTTATTCTTTGTTTACCCAAAGAATAGCACGGTTGGCGACGAACGGTGCGAAAGAAGTTCAATTTACACACATACGTACAGTACATACATGCAGAGGAAGGTCACAATTTAGGACAGTCGGCTAATTCCACGGTTGGTTTTGAGAATGTCGCAAACCCAGAGCACGCACATTTAGATTGAAACATCCGCTTGATACACTGCCTCCTACCAGCAGCTTGTCGCTGAGCGGGTGGGTATCTTATGAACATGATTGTTCAATCTCTATGTCATCCACTAAGCCTACTACAAAATTGCTGCAATTCGAAGCTAAACATTCACCCCTATGAGAAGACCTCTTGTGTCATGAATTTCATGAGGTCCATGTAAGTACAGGCAGTAACATTAACAATTACCCGATAAGAAGATCATATAGGAATGAATGCTATTTTATTTAATGCAGTAGTTCCTTGAAATTAGTATGTTATCGCAAATGCTTCAGCAGGATACACATCAAAGATGCTCCATCTCGTTTACACAATCTGACGCATCCGGAGTCTGTAATGTAATATCCGAAAACAAAAATCATTGCCCAATTACGTTATGTAACAACTTTTCCATCTAAGTATCGTTGTGCCTCTTGGTTATACTGACTTCTCTACAGACATGGGACATTCTTTGGCCATTGGTGTTTGGGAAATGTTCACTGTGGGGGAAGGACGACCTCTTTCAGCATTTGTTTTCTATAGCTTACCCCACGACCCCTTCATCTCCCCCTCATAACCGCCACCGTTACGTTTCCCTCTTCATACTCTCATAGTGCGGCTTTCACTCATTCCCCAATTCATTCAATCCATTCATCGTCATTACTGCCGTCAATTTCACTCTCACCGAATTCACGCGTCACAGATTTGCCCCAATTGCTTCCTCTCATCTATTTAATTCACCTCATCGCCACCATCACAAACACATGTGCCGTTGTGAATTCTGTGTAAAGTGCCTCGGTGCAAGGCGCTTTTTATACATTCCTTTTAAATAAGAGAAGCAACTCAAGTGGTGTTGTACTGCATGTAGGAAGAGTCATGCATATCGAATGCTATGATGATTTCGGACACGATTCCAGTCAGAGACATTCTCTAGTACTGTCACGTGATTGTCATTCTTGCACGCCTCTTCCCTTGTATGAAGTTTCAAGCCATTTTTGTTTGTTCTATATAAAGCAGAGATGCATTGCAAATTCCAGTCGTGCAGTGTCCATCCATTGCATTATGGGCAGTGTGCGTTGGGTCATAACCAGTCTCGCAAATCAGCTATTCCAATTACTTAGACATGAGCAAAGCTACCAGTCATTATTATCATTACAATGTATTTATTTTCTGATTTAACTTCACCCTTATTTGTTCTAAGAGTAATATGTATGAGTTTGCGGTGTTATTCCCGGCAGCTTAAAAATAGCTCCATTAATTTACCAGACCTATTTATGTCAAGACGTACTAAATGGCTGGTTGCATTCTGCAAAGACTTTGTACAAATTACAGCGAGCTTTGAAATGAGACCACAAAGCCACTTCCTGTTACCCTTACGTTTCCTCGGCCGGAATCAATGTACAGCTGGAAGAAATCTGATGGAACCTTCGCCCTGTTTACATTTTAATGCAAAGACTGTGTAAGTATTGCAAACTATACACAGTTTAAGTTTTCTGAAGGCATGTTTTATGAAAATTATTATCTAGTTCTGCGATGTAAAAAAAAATGGGATTCGTCGTTTACTTAATGGTGCAACTGAACTTCTGAGTATGTCCACGTCGCCTGGCGGTTCCCCAGGCAATGTGGCCATGAGAATCAAAGTACTGCATTCACTTTGATCTCACGATCTTAGACTGCGATATGCGAACCTTGAAAAGACTAAATAACAAAACTAATTTGGATATATTCGTGATTTTTTGTTTATTGTTGGTGTCATGACCCAACCCTGGGTTTCACAACCAATGAGGGTCATGGTGAACTCGTGCCCACTGTTCCGCACTTTCACAGTCACGGGATCCTCGCACACGTTGACGAAACACTCGGGAAGACAACGCCATATACAACGAGTCACACAACTTCCAGTTTCTCTTCAACAGGCCTGTCTTGCCCACAAGCGCGCAATTCAATGTTAGGATCGGAGCCGCGTTGCTCATGAGCGGGGGGTCGGAAAACTGCGGCTCAGAAATCTCATGCGGTGCCTCTTTAACGGACTGCTGCTGCTGCTTTGTGGACGTTAAATTTCGATTTAAAGCTTTCGTGACTGCAAGGATTCATCTTCTTTGGTTCTTTCGGTAAAGTCACGTAGAATGAGAATAAAACAATAAAATAACACAATAAAATTCTCACGACGTTTCGGCCACAACGCAAGCGGCCGTCTTCAGGTGAAAGGAACAGACCTGTCGGGACAGACAGAGCTTCAATGAAGATCGTCGGGACGACAGAGCTTCAATGAAGCTCTGTCGTCCCGACAGGTCTGTTCCTTTCACCTGAAGACGGCCGCTTGCGTTGTGGCCGAAACGTCGTGAGAATTTTATGTGTTATTTTATTATTTTATTCTCATTCTTTGTGGACGTTATTTATAAAGGACCACCACCATCGTTGAGTCACCATGAGCATTGCGGCTCTTGAAATTTGAGTGTTTTTTTTAAACCGAATTCGAAAAAAATGGCTCTTCTTGTTATTTTGGCTGCCAATCCTTGCCTCATGCACAGTGTGTTGGGACTTCTTTGGTACCGTACATAGCTCACCGTGCTCGTCGGAGGTGCTCTGACAGGGCCACGGCATTATCCCCCAGGGACATTTGGTCAACACTAATAGTGGTGTTGCATGTATTCCCGTTTAAAAACAATTCACTGCAGATCATCTCTGCTGAGTTTGTGATATTGACTGACCCTCATGTGACCGCAAAAGGACGCATTAATGAGCCACCGTGCACGTTTATTTTCTCTGCCCTGATCAGTATTCACGATCGCTCATTCTAATTGAAAACACTCCATCTGTGCGCCGCAAGGAGAATTGTTTTTTTTCTATTAGCCATCTTTTTTGTTGTCGCAAGTGTAGCTGACCGTTTTAAAGTTCACAGAAATACCATTCCACTAAATCTTGATTATGGGCAATACACAAATTACATCAATGTACAATACTTCCTAATGCAAACGAGTGTGGGACGATGCTGATCTCTATTGAGGGCCCTGAGAACCAGTGGTGTAAATTCCGCATTGCTATGGCTGAAGCGAGTCAAACTGTTTATTTATAGGTTTGCATTATTCATAGTTTTGACCCCAGATGAACAATACCAAGCAGAGGTGAACCCCTAACTTTAATCCGAACGAATGCAATCCAAATGCTCTACTTCCATGGGGCAAAAACACACTGCAGAAAGTAACACACCATGCTCGGCATTGAGTTTTTGTTTTACAAATGAAGGGATTTCAAATATTAAGAAGATAAGGACGTTTGTATGTTCATGGTTATGCAATTACAATTAGTGTATTATCTTCATGTCGTGCCTAATATATGGATCATCATAAAAACATACGCGTGGTAAAGCACAATTCGGCTTCTTCACAGATTTTCCCATCGTAGTTTTTGGCAGGAAAGTTTAGACCCACTGTTCAGGCTCAGTTTAAAAAAGAAGTGGTCTACACCAAGGCCGTAATTATAATATATATTGGGGGGGACACCCCCCCCCCCCAATATTCCAATATGCTCAAAATGTCCCCCCCAATATATTGCTCTAAAATAAATTTCTGTTTATATGATTGTGATTATGATTATACTTTATTAATCTCTAATCTCTGCCATTACATACAATGAAACAAGAAAAAATAAAAAAACAGAGCAATGGAATACAATACATTATTGTACCAAAAAAAAGTCCATTCTATGTGTTAGTGAATTTTTTTTATATTTTAGGCAGGAAATCAGTTTTCAAATTTAGATTTTTTTTCTGGAGGGGGGGGGGGACCCCCAGGAAGATTTTGTCCCCCCCAATGTTGACCCCATGGCTACGGCCTTGGTCTACACCTCACTACAATAACGATGTGTGCACTCTGCGATGTCGGACCGCGTGTATGAGCCACATGCACGAATTTGCCCCGATGAAAATTACGGAAACTGTTTCGAAAGAAAGATATTTTTTGTCAGTCACGTGCAGTCATTTCAAGGGTGACGGTTGACTGGAAATATATATTTTAAAAAAATATATATGTTGACTTTAAATAAATATCTTTGAGGTTGGAGACAGCAGGTCCGGTATTGA